TGTGGATGACCAGTTGCTGGATCTGTTTGAAATCTATTTATCACACAATGCAGTGTATCCATAAAGTGAGAATGGAACTAGATGTTCACAAGGGCCAGGTGTTTGTAATTCTTATCAATACTGACATGGAAAGATGCATCTCCAATAGAGGTTGGTGAAGATGATAAGTTTTTAAAGTGCCTAATTTGAAGATGGCATTTAAATTTATTTAAGTGTTGGAGATTTAGAACATGAGTGTTCTGTGGCATAAGGGATTTAAGTGGCTTTAAAATTGTCAGAGGATTGGAGGAAGCTGTTAACTAATCCAGACTAACCCCAAATGGCCAAAACACACACCGTGATATCAGCATAAACTGTCTGATTTATATATATTTTAAAATGTTTACATTTTTAGTTTGTTTTGAAGTTTGTATTAGTAACATTTGGGTTTTCTTTGTGTCCAAATTTGTTAAATAATTTGTAAGCATTTTTGTAGCCATGATGCTTTTTTTAATTTATTTAAAAGCAGTTTGTGAGGGCTACTTTGACAATCCAATGGGCTTGTGCGTACTTTAGAATTTTATGACTTATCAGGGTGAACCATAATACCTCAAGATTTCTGTTAGAAATTTCTGGTCTGGGAGTTTTTTTTAAATTTGAGGGAAGCATCCATAGGTCAGAAGGAGAGATTATTGTTTCAGTTTTACTTTGTTTCGGAAAGGTTGGACAGCAACGGTTGTATATAGAGCATTGCCCCAAGAAGGAGAACATTTCGTGAAACTACATTACCTTCGAGTAAGGAGTTATTGAAAGTCACAGACTAGAAGTTTGGGATCAAAGAGGATTTGAACTGAGTTGAGATTCAGAACTCTGTAAATTGGAGCGGCCATCATGAACTAAAAATATTGTGTGTATGTAAATAAAATGTTTGTGAATGGTACAGTAACAGTTCAGTAAGAATAAGAGCATTGTGCTACAAACTGTAAGAAAAAGCATACAAAGTAATGTAAATTTTGAAAACAGCTAGCTGTATAAGGAAAAAAGAGGCTTGCATTCATATATCGCCTGCCATAACAGCACTGCTTTAAAACTAGTGAAGTACTTTTGAAGTGTACTCATTGTTGTACTATAGGAAAAATGACAGCCCCCCAATTTGCACGCAACAAGATCCCAAAAAAGTAGTGATACCAAACAGATAATCTGTTTTGTGATGTTGATTTGAGAGATAAATATTGGCTCGAACATCAAGGATTTATCCTCTGCTTTTTGAAATAGTGTCATGAGATAGGACCTTTCCAAGGGCAGACTCTTAAATCTTTCATCTGAAAGACACTATCCAGTACATGAAATTAATGCACTAATATCTCTTTGCAGCAACATTGATTATAATACTGCTTGTCTTTCATCGTCTGCAAACTTGGATAAGTCACTTACTGTTACATCATCTATGTTGTCAATAAATGCAGAGAATGGTTGAGGACTCAACACGGGTCCCTATGGGATGTCACTGGTAACGTCTTGGCAATTATAGTATCTGTCCTATATCCCTCCACTCTCTCCTTGCACTCGGCCAACTTCCAGTTCAATAATATGCCCTCAATTCTACCTACTTCAACTTTAATCAGCAGCCTCTTATGAGGGACTCGATATCGTGCCTTCTAGACTTTTGTAGGATTAACATCCAGTTATTCATCTGTTCAATACTTTAGTAAGCTCATCAAAAATTCAATCAGGTTCACCAGACATGATCCAGCATTAAGAATTCATACTAGCTCTGATCAGATGAAAATTGTGGAAGCATTTAGTCACCCTATCCTTAATTATATATACGTACCTTCCTTGCAACAGATGTTCAAGCTGCCAGGCCTGCTTCCCTGGTTTTGCGCTCTCACCTTTCTTAAAAAGTGGAGTTATGGCAATTTTCCAATCTAAAGGAAGGAACATCTCCTGATGGGTGATCGCAAGGCTTCTGATGAAAAGCCGTTGTCTTGAAAAATTAACATTGTTTATCTCTCCACTTGTATTACCTTACCTAAATGTTTCTGACCTGTTTTTGTTTAGTCTGGTACATGTTCCATGAAATTGCTTGTGCTGTGGCGCAAGCTTTCTAAGACCAGTGGTGTTATTCCATGTAATATTACCTGTGTGCCGGAGTTATTTTTTCTAAATAAACCTTGAATTCCAAGTGCACCTCAGAAAGAGTCATAGAAATACTAGATTGGAGTTAATGTATGAGGAGCTTTCAGACTCTACGAGCGCTAGGAAGACGTATCAGGAGTGTCAACACTGTAATATCCTATGATTATGTAGGAGGGTCTTGTGATGTGAGAAAAGTTTGGAAGAAAGTTCTTGGAGTCTGAGGTCTGGAGAGTGCTGGCGATGCCATAAGAATTTGAGAGCTGAGAAGGAGCCTTATTTATAGTTGGAGGAGAGAGACAGGTTGGAAGGGGAGTAGGTGAAGGAAGTTCCTAAGGTCACCAGTGGCAACAGATAAGGAAGTGAGAGACTGCTTGTATTGATTGGTTGCGGGCTTAGCAGTTTGGGGGGCGGGGGGAAAGAAGGTGATGCAACCCCTTCCCCCACAGCAGTTCCACATGTCATCTGCCTCCTTGTGAAAATTGTGGTGGCTATTTAATGTTCTGGGGTTATACCTTTTGTCCTATTATCAGCGATCTTGTCTCTATGTTCCTGCCATGCAGCCTTTAAGGCTAAATCCTATGCTTCTGTAATCCTTGTTTGCAAAGTACACATTGAGGGAAATTGAACAGCAGAAGTATTAGATAGGAAGACACAACCTGATTACATGCTTTCCTGATCATATATACTGGGATACATCAAGAATTTAAAACAAAATCCCTTTTTATACTACAAATTTCTCTGATCTGCTTGAGTATAATTTCCAAGATTTTGTATGCAAGTTTTATATTGTAAAATTTATGATGAGGCAGGAATCATTCAGGCAGAACCAAATGTTTTACAGCAGTATATTGATATTTGTCTTTAAAAATAATTCTCAATCAGCCTTATTTAGTACTCAGTATCAAAAAGCTAGATCGCTGCTGCTGGTTATTGGGGTTGTCTGTCTGTGAACAGTTCAAGCCGAAAAGTACAAATTTTTAAGAAAAGCAAATTCACTTCCTGTACTTGATGAACTTGTTGGTGTAAGGTGTTACTGACATTAAACGGCTCAAACGTTCTTTACTGACTACACTATTACTGGTAACCATTCACAGATAGGATTTCCCATCTTAAATTTATGCACATGCAGATTCCATGTAAACAATCAACGTAAAAATTCAGTCCTTTAATGTTGAAATATATGGTTTTTGAAATTTTATTTTGTATAGTAGGAACTGTGTGGATTAATGGAGACTATTTTTAAGTATTTTCTGTGATTTTATTGATTGATCAGGAAAATAATAAGTTGTTAATAATTGCATTGGGTACTGCATTATAAATGTTTATGAAAAGCATTGTTTGAAATGTTCATGTATGAAGTTTAATATTAATGTTAAACATTGTGGCATAAAATTGTGATATAGGAAGTATTAACATACTTGGTAGACTACTCATGTTTCTAATGTAATTCTAAAATGTTCTGTTTCTTAAATAACAAATGGTCATTTGTCTTACACAACTTTAGTATTGCTGAAAAAAGCCACATTTTGTCAAAACTTTTCATCTTCCATTCATCAGGACATTTTGTAGGCAAACAACATTTATACTCTGATAGAGTGCTAATTGGCAAGTAGATTCTGGTAGAGATACTGCTATGGAGAATGCAGCAGTTAAAGATTGACTGTTAACTGCTAGGCTCTGTTTTAGATTTGTTTTTGTTCATTAGGGGTCTGTGGGCTTTGGCTGGGCCATTTATTGTCTACCTCCGAATTGTCATCAAGAGGATGCTGGTAAACTACCTTCTTGAACTGCTGCAGCCATTTGCTGCAGGTACATCCGCAATGTTGATAGGGAAGGAATTCCAGCATTTTGTCTCTGTGACACTGAAGGAACAAGGATGTATTTCTAAGTCTGGATGGTGACTGGCTTAGTGGAACTGGCAGGTGATAACTGGCATCTGCTGTCCTTGCCCTTCTTTGAGGGTAGTGGTAATGGTTTTGCAAGGTGCTGTTTAGGTGCCTTTATAAATTCCAGTTGTGTACATTCTAGATGGTCCACCATGCTGCTACATGTATCGATATTGGAGGAAATTAATGTTTGTGGATGTAGTATCAGTCAAGCAGCCTGCTTTGTCCTGTATTTTGACACCTTCACACTCCTGACTTGTGCCATGTAAATAGTGCCAGACTTTGGTGAATTAAGAGGTGAGTTGCTCTTGTATGTACAAATTTGGCAGGTTCATTTGATTGGTCAGGTCATTTCCCTGAGAAATGAACCTGCAAATGGTTGTCATCTATTTTGTTGAATTGAAACATGCACTGAATTTCACTGCTGATGTGATGTCAGGTATATGCATGTCCCAAAGACTGGCAGATTACATCAAACAGCACACGTCTTCAGTTTGCAACAAGTAATGTACTGACCATACTTGATCAGCAAGTATTGCAAAACTCGGTGCCCAATATTTGGGGTGATACTGCATTTGGACAACCTTTGCTGTGAAGACTTGAACTGAAAACCAGTTTAAGACTGAGACTCCGGCTTACATTGTGTCACTCCAGATGTACTAGAAGCTGTATGTATTAATGCTCAAGACCGAGAGAACACATGCATACGTTGCACCAGTTTCAACTCTGTGAAATTGGTGACCACTGTTCTCTGGTTCATTTCTCAGTGCAATGCCATGCCCAGCTGGCAAACTTTCAAATATTTGAAATTTGGCATTGTTGCGTTTGTTATGATGAGTACAAGCTAAAGAGCTTCAGCATCAAGCCTGACGTTTTTTAAGCAATATTCTTCGTATTTCACTTCATCTGTACTTATAAGTGTAGGATTATTGTTCAAAACATAAAAATTGTTGTTTCAAAATTGTGTAACTATCTTGCAATACTCTTCTCTTGCAGTACTGATACACAGCTCTTGGAAGAGGCAACGCTTTCGATTTCCAAATCATTAAGTAAGTGTATTCATAACTTAAATTGTTTGTCTCTTCTTTACTAACTTTCCAATTATTCTTGATATTGATATTTATAGAAATATAATTCAATTTACTGGTTCCCTTTTTGGTTTTTTGATGTCAGTGATATAATCATCCTGAAGAGTTCAAATTAATTCAGCATTACTGTGCATTTAAGTAATTGCAGTTGGAGCAGAAGTGGAACCTCCGGGTATGTCAGAGTTTCCGAGTAGAGAGGCGGCACTCTAGTTTCAAAGGTCCACATTCACTACTAATCTCTGTCAGAAAGCATATATGCAGACTTCAACTGCTCGCAAAGCCTACTTTTATTGTTTTGTTTAGTGCAAGAAAAGTCATCAGTTAAGCAGTGTACTGGAGATAGCCTATGGCTGTTACCCTGTAAACTATTGTATTGTGCTACTTTTCAAAATAATATTGATCTTTATTAAACTCTGAGAAACATGTAACTTTCATTTGCTGCATTCATTTAAATGAGGAAAAATACATTTATGGCTCATTCATGAATTTGGAATAAGTTTATAAATGTGTTGTTAAATGAGCACCTTTGCTTTCACTTTTAAAAATACTTTTTGAGATATTACATCTTGCATATTCTTATCCTTTCAGACTGAGTTTATATCTTTCTGTTTCAGTTGAAAACAATCCTCGGACAGAAAACTTTCAAGCTCTTGTAAAGATTTTCCTCAGTAGAACCAAAGAATTGAAGGTCTCGGCTGAATGTCAAGAGTAAGTTAGAAAAATATTATGAATGTATAAGACTTCCAAATAAAGATTGAAGTATTCTATTGCTGCTGTCGGTATCTTTCAGACTAACTTAATTTCCAAACTGTTCAATCGAAATTTTGCCGAGGCTTGCACTTAAAAGGGGTCAAAAACGATTTCTAAGAATGTTGAAGGGCTTGAGCTAAAGGGAGAGGCTGAATAGGCCGGGGATATTTTCCCTGGAGCATTGGAGGCTGAGGGGTGACCTTTATAGAGGTTTATAAATCATGAGGGATATGGATAGGGTGAATAGCCAAGGTCTTTTTCCCAGGGTAGTGGAGTCCAAAACTAGAGGGCATAGGTTTAAGATAAGAGGGGAAAGATATAAAAGAGACATGAGGGGCAATTTTTTTCACGCAGAGGGTGGTGCGTGTATGGAATGGGCTGTCAGAGGAAGTGTTGGAGGCTGGTACAATTACAACATTTAAGATGGATGTGTATATGGCTAGGAAGGCTTTGGAGGAATATGGACCAAATGCTGGCAAATGGGACGAGATTAATTTAGGATTCCTGGTCAGCGTGGATGAGTTGGACCAAAGGGTGTGTTTCCATGCTGTACACCTCTGTGACTCAATAACCAAATTGTTGATTTGGAAAGACTAAGATTTTGCATAGTGCCATATGTATTTAAGAAATATTCTGTATATTTATTATCTCATGAGAAGTCCTCTGTTATATCAGCCATTCTGTATTTAATTTGTAGTTTGTGCTGACCATAATTTACCTTCTAATTCATGTTTAATTTATGTGGGTTATGATTCACGTTAAATAAAAGCTACAAAAGTAGAATATTGTGGTACTTTCTTCATTTGTATGTCCCCCCGCCGCCTCCTGTGGGATTTTGAATAGAACATAGAACATAGAATATTACAGCGCAGTACAGGCCCTTCGGCCCTCGATGTAGTGCTGACTTGTGAAACCAATCTGAAGCCCATCTAACCTACACTATTCCATTATCATCCATATGTTTATCCAATGACCATTTAAATGCCATTAAAGTTGGCGAGTCTACTACTTTTGCAGGCAGGGCATTCCACGCCCTTACTACCATCTGAGTAAAGAACCTACCTCTGACATCTGTCCAAATCTATCACCCCTCAATTTAAAGCTATATCCCCTCGTGCTAGCCATCACCATCGGAGGAAAAAGTCTCCCACTGTCCACCCTATCTAATCCTCTGATCATCTTGTATGTCTCTATCAAGTCACCTCTTAACCTTCTTCTCTCTAACGAAAACAGCCTCAAGACCCTCAGCCTTTCCTCATAAGACCTTCCCTCCATACCAGGCAACATCCTGGTAAATCTCCTCTGCACCCTTTCCAATGTTTCCACATCCTTCCTATAATGCGGTGACCAGAACTGTACGCAATACTCCAAGTGCGGCCGCACCAGAGTTTTGTACAGCTGCAACATGACCTCATGGCTCCGAAACTCAATCCCTCTACCAATAAAACCTAACATACTGTACGCCTTCTTAACAACGCTATCAACCTGGGTGGCAACTTTCAGTGATCTATGCACATGGACACCGAGATCTTTCTGCTCATCCACACTACCAAGAATCTTACCATTAGCCCAGTACTCTGTATTCCTGTTACTCCTTCCAAAGTGAATCACCTCACACTTTTCCGCATTAAACTCCATTTGCCACCTCTCAGCCCAGCTCTTCAGCTTATCTATGTCCCTCTGTAACCTACAACATCCTTCTGCACTATCCACAACTCCACCGACTTTGGTGTCATCCGCAAATTTACTAACCCATCCTTCTACGCCCTCATCCAGGTCATTTATAAAAATGACAAACAGCACTGGCCCCAAAACAGATCCTTGAGGTACACCACTAGTAACTGAACTCCAGGATGAACATTTCCCATCAACCACCACCCTCTGTCTTCTTACAGCCAGCCAATTTCTGATCCAAACCGCTAAATCACCCTCAATCCCATGCCTCCGTATTTTCTGCAATAGCCTACCATGGGGAACCTTATCAAACGCTTTACTGAAATCCAAATACACCACATCAACCGCTTTACCCTCATCCACCTGTTTGGTCACCTTCTCGAAGAACTCAGTAAGGTTTGTGAGGCACAACCTACCCTTCACAAAACCGTGTTGACTATACCTAATCAAATTATTCCTTTCTAGATGATTATAAATCCTATCTCTTATAATCCTTTCCAACACTTTACCCACAACCGAAGTAAGGCTCACTGGTCTATAATTACCAGGGTTGTCTCTACTCCCCTTCTTGAACAAGGGGACGACATTTGCTAGTCTCCAGTCTTCTGGCACTATTCCTGAAGACAATGATGACATAAAGATCAAAGCCAAAGGCTCTGCAATCTCCTCTCTAGCTTCCCAGAGAATCCTAGGATAAATCCCATCCGGCCCAGGGGACTTATCTATTTTCACACCTTCCAGAATTGCTAACACCTCCTCCTTATGAACCTTAATCCCGTCCAGTCTAATAGCCTGTATCTCAGTATTCTCCTCAACTACATTGTCTTTTTCCTGTGTGAATACTGATGAAAAATATTCATTTAGCACCTCTCCTATCTCTTCAGACTCCACGCACAACTTCCCACGACTGTCCTTGACCGGCCTCAATCTTACTCTAGTCATTCTTTTATTCCTGACATACCTATAGAAAGCTTTAGGATTTTCCTTGATCCTACCTGCTAAAGACTTCTCATGTCCCCTCCTGGCTCTTCTTAGCTCTCTCTTTAGGTCCTTCCTGGCTAACTTGTAACTCTCAAGCGCCCTCACTGAGCCTTCACGCCTCATCTCTACATAAGCCTCCTTCTTCCTCTTGACAAGAAATTCAACTTCTTTAGTAAACCACGGTTCCCTCGCTTGACTACTTCCTCCCTGCCTGACAGGTACATACTTCTCAAGGACACGCAGTAGCTGTTCCTTGAACAAGCTCCACATTTCAATTGTGCCCAGCCCCTGCAGTTTCCTTCTCCACCCTATGCATCCTAAATCTTGCCTAATCGCCTCATAGTTGCCTTTCCCCCAGCTATAACTCTTGCCCTGCTTTATATACCGATCCCTTTCCATCACTAAAGTAAACGTAACTGAATTGTGGTCACTATCACCAAAGGGCTCTCCTACCTCCAAATCTAACACCTGGCCTGGTTCATTACCCAGTACCAAATCCAATGTGGCCTCGCCTCTTGTTGGCCTATCTACATACTGTGTCAGGAAACCCTCCTGCACACATTGGACAAAAACTGACCCATCTGAAGTCCTCGAACTGTAGCGTTTCCAGTCAATATTTGGAAAGTTAAAGTCCCCCATAACAACTACCCTGTTACTTTCGCTCCTATCCAGAATCATCTTTGTAATCTTTTCCTCTACATCTCTGGAACTTTTCGGAGGCCTATAGAAAACTCCCAACAGGGTGACCTCTCCTTTCCTGGTTCTAACCTCAGCCCATACTACCTCAGTAGATGAGTTGTCATCAAGTGTTCTTTCTGCCACCGTAATACTGTCCTTGACTAACAATGCCACACCTCCCCCTCTTTTACCACCTTCCCTGATCTTACTGAAACACCTAAACCCCGGAACCTGCAACAACCTTTCCTGTCCCTGCTCTATCCATGTCTCCGAAATGGCCACAACATCGAAGTCCCAGGTACCAACCCATGCTGCAAGTTCACCCACCTTATTCCGGATGCTCCTGGCATTGAAGTAGACACACTTCAAACCACCTTCCTGCCTGCCGGTACACTCCTGCCACCTTGAAACCTGATTTATGACCTCACTACTCTCAACCTCCTGTACACTGGAGCTACAATTCAGGTTCCCACCCCCCTGTTGAATTAGTTTAAACCCTCCCAAAGAGCATTAGCAAATTCCCCCCCCAGGATATTGGTACCCCTCTGGTTCAGGTATAGACCATCCCATTTGTAGAGGTCCCACCTACCCCAGAATGAGCCCCAATTATCCAGGTATCTGAATCCCTCCCTCCTGCACCATCCCTGTAGCCACGTGTTCAACTGCTCTCTCTCCCTATTCCTCGCCTCGCGAGCACGTGGCACGGGTAACAAACCAGAGATAACAACTCTGTTTGTTCTAGCTCTAAGCTTCGACCCTAGCTCCTTGAATTTCTGCCTTACGTCCCCATCCCTTTTCCTACCTATGTCGTTGGTGCCTATGTGGACTACGACTTGGGGCTGCTCCCCCTCCCCCTTAAGGATCCCGAAAACACGATC